CCCCAAAACCCCAAAACCCCAAAACCCCATCAAATTTAGATTTGAGTGAGATCTGTGAATTTAGTATTTTTTGTCCATTATTTAACGTAAATTAATGATTTTAGTTTAGATAAGATTTTATTAATTCAATTAAGTTAGTCAGATATGTCTTTCGTAGTTAGGTCTTTTGACTATCACGTACAAAACATAGCTTCTTCTCTTGACTAAGAAGAAGGTAATTTTATTATCAACTCATTCTTTAGACTAAATAAGGATTATTATCCTCATTTTTGTTCAATTAATCGTCAATTGGGTATTTACCCAAATTAATAATTCAATGGTGAGACAAATATATTCTATGTCTACAGCTTTGATACTCCAGATCCTGATGTACCGAAAAGGTAACTCCAATTAATATTTTCTAAAAAATGATAGGAGTCTTCGATTTCATGATTCTCTCGCTATTGGGATACCTAGGATTAATCTTATTCCCCAGAAAGAATTCAAATTAAGCAGTTTTTGCTGCTTGCTTTGGATTCCTATCGTACCTACATATAAAAAGAATGATTGAGGATTACGGGGGTTGGAGAGTTGATACCGCCACAATGTGCATGATTTAAGTTTGCAAAATAACCTCTGTTGGCTTTGCCTACAGGGATGGAGAGGTTACGAAAGATGAAGAAGATAAGTTATTTTCACATCAAGTAAAAGCCAAGTTGGTCGAGCGACCAACATTTTTGGAATATTTTTCCTATAATTTCAGCTGCTGCGGCTGCATGCTTGGGCCTTACTTTGAATACAAAGACTTTATCAACTTGATGAATAGATCAGGTGATTATGAGAAGATTCCTAATACTGTGCTACCTTCTTTGAAAATATACGGACAAGCAATAGGTAATTTTGATTAAACTTATAATAAATAGTTCTTCTTGCTTTGTTTGCTGGAGTTCAGATCCTTCTACCACCAAACTTTATTTTTACTGAAGATTTTGGAGAGAAAAATTTCTTCTACTAATTCGGATATATGTATCTGAGTCTTTCCAATAGAAGATTCTAGTTCTATGCTGCTTTTAGATTATTAGAATCATCAGCAGTAGCGAGTGGACTCGGATTCAATGGCTACGTTGACAAGGTACCCTAGTGGGATAGAGTCATATGTGGATACGCCTGGTTAATTGAGACAGTCTCAGATCCCTCATTAGTTATCAAGGTAAGCTTAACTAAATAGTAATCATTATAGTTTTGGAATCATTCAATTCATATTTGGTTGAAGAACAACATTTTCTTCAGATCCTTTAGAAAAGGGGAAAGCCCCGGATTCTAGACTAATCTCATAGTGATGCTAGTTTCCGCTCTTTGGCATGGCTTCTACCCGATCTATTATATAGTTTTCATCCAACTAGCTATTCTAGTAGAGGTAATCATATTCTTACATATCTAATTTATATTTTAGATTGCTAAGGATGTTTAGAGATATGGATCATTTGTTAATAAACTTGTTCCAAACAGTATCGTCAGATATTTGCTTGCTCAGTTATTCACAAAGTATATCTACAGCTACCTAATCTTGATCCATTTTGCATTGCTATTAGATAAGGCATGGATAGGTGTGAAAAATCTCAAATTCATACCACCTCTTATGCTATTATCTCTCTTCTTAGCATTCAAGGTAATAGTACCAAGAGTGGCCAAGAGAGATGTGAAGCATATCATCCAAAATGCTAATACAATAGCTACTAAAAAGGATAATTGATTATTGTAATAACTATAACATGAACTAAGACAATTAGAAAGTTTAGAGAGGATTCAAATAGAAGTTTCTGTTTTAACCTCTACAACATTACTCAAGTCTTTAGTTCTTAGATTTACTTATTTCGATATTACCTTAATTTAGGCAAATTTTACTATATGGGGTTTTGGGGTTTTGGGGTTTTGGGGTTTTGGGGTTTTGGGGTTTTGG